CTCTCCCTCCCCCCTCCTCTCTCCCTCTCTCTCTCTCTCTCCCTCCCTCCCTCCCTCCCTCTCTCTCTCTCCCCACCTCCCTCTCTCTCAGGGCTCCTGAGTTTTAGAGAACAGTGACAGGAGGGAAAATAAACAAAATGGCAGTACTTTAGTCCTGTACCCTTCTGCCTGAGCCAGGGGTCCTGGGAGTGTGGCACACTCCACTCCCACTCCCTCAGCTCCATGGTCTGATCTGGGAACGGCAGGTAGTGAAGGTCTCATTCCAAACCTCTCCAGTTAGAACCATCTTCTCCCTCCTCCTGCCCCCAGGAGTCACCTCTGCTCAGGGGAACCAGGGCACCCAAGTTCACCAGCAGGAGTGGCTCGGACAGCAGCGAAGCCCAGCACAGAAGCCCAGCACGGGCCCTCTTCCTCCCTCATTGTGCTCTGCCCTATGTGGACAGAGGGACAGGCTGAACTCCAGCAAAGGTCTGCTTATGTGACGAGTGCCAGCCAGGCATGGTGACACGCATCTGCAACCCAGCACTCAGGAAGGGGAGGTAAGAACAACAGCAAGGAGCTCAGGTAACCTTGGCTACACAGCTCAAGGCTAGCCTGGACTACAGAAGATAGCATCTCAAAAAAAGGGTGGGGGTTGTGGACTAAAGGCCACACAAGCCTGACAACCTGAATTCAGATAGCCAAATACCACATAAAAGCCAGATGCTCAGGAAGTACCGCATGTGTCAGAAATCTGTGCTCCTCCAGGGAGGAGGTTCGTGGGTACCTGACCTGACTACGCAGTATCAACAAGGCAAAGGCCAAGATTGACCCTTGGGTTGTCATCTGGCCTCCACATGCCCCGAGCCACAAGCATGCCCTCTCCCGTTCCCTCTCCTGCCTCCCCCCAGCCCCCTCCACACACAGTTTTTTTAAAAAGTACCTCCCCCTCATTGAGAAATTCTTAGGGTTGTTAAATTATCCTTTCTCAAATACTAAGCAGTGGATGAGATAAAACATCCCAAGCTTAAGAAACTCCAGCAAGAGCATTTCACTTCTACTTCACAGGGTAGGAGTGAGCCAGCTCTGCCAGTGAGCGACGAACAACAGGGGAGTGTCGGTCAGTGGTCAGGAATGACCATCAGGTGGCCGGAGAGATGGTTCCAAGGTTATGAGCTCTTACTGTGCAACCAGTTCACACCCAGCACCCAAATAACAAGTGAGCCATGCTGTGCACACCCTTAACCTCTGCTGCAAGGAGGGTGGAGAGAGGATTACTGGGGTTGGCTGGCTGGCTTCCAGCCTGCCAGAAGAGAAGGGAACCTAAAGTTTAGGGAGAGATTCTGTCTCAAAGAACAGGTGGAGATTGATGAGGACACCCTTTGCCCTCTGCTGGCCTCAGCTTGCTTGCTTATCCCAACCTCTCCCGGTCCCCACCCTCTCTCAAGTACATTAATTAAATTAAAAAGAATGGCTGTTGTGGGACACGGTGGCCCACACCTCTAATCCCAGCATTTGGGAGAGAGTTCGAGGCCAGCCTGGTCTACATAGCGAGTTCCAAGCCAGCGGGGCTACAGGGAGACCCTGTCTCAGAGACTGAAAAATAAATAATAAATAAATAAATAAATAAATAAATAATAAATAAATAAATAAATAAATAAATAATAAATAAATAAATAAATAGAATGGCCATCGAGCAGGGAATCCAACCAAATGGCCATCGAGCAGGGAATCCAACCACAGCTTGTTTTCATCACACTCTACGCAGCACTAAGAAGACATGTTATCTACTAAATTTTGTTTAGCTCAAGTGACAAAACTTTGAAACCATCATGAACATCATTCTTCATACGGTAACTTTCTCGGCCAGACAGGGTGGCTCAGGCTGTCACTCCAGCACTTGGGAGGCGGAGGCGGAAAGACTGCAGGTAATGCAAAGCCAGTCTGAGCTGGAGCAAGCGCCTGTCTCCAAACAAACAAACTTGCTTCTTCTTTGCAAAGTATTAAGAATATTCAATAAAAAAGGGAACATTAACCCAACCACACACCACACCAAGCAGCCCAGTAGCACCTGTGGGCCCAGAAAAGCCCACAGGAAGGCAGACAGATGCTGCGGTACCTGCAGCTGCACCTGCCCAGGCCTGGAGGGCACATGGCTGTCTGCTCCAGGGAGAGAGGAGTGGTAAGGGTATTTTTTTAAACATTTTATTTATTATTTTTATTTTATGTGTATGAGTGCATTGCCTGCATGTAGGTAGGTGCCCCCGTGTCGTGCAATGCCTGGGGAGGTCAGAAGGCGTCAGATCCCCTGGAACTAAAGTTACAGATGGTTATGAGCCACCATGTGAGTGCTGGGCACTGAGCCCAGGTCCTCTGTAAGAGCAGCCAGTGCCCTTAACTGCTGAGCCCTCTCTCCAGCCTGGAATCTCCATTCTGTACACACACTGATCCTCATGCTCAGAAGGAAACCCCATGGAAACACCAAGTTCTGGTCTGCGTTGCCAGAATCTGGCAAGTCTCGCTGTACACATGAAGAGGTCACCTATCAAAGAGAGGGAGGCAGGGCATGACCTCGGGCTGTTTCTGCCCTGGGCTTTACAAGCCAAAGTCAAAGCCCTGCCTACCACGGCTGACCACGGCTGAGCAGCCTGTCCACGGAGTCAGGACAGCCTAGGGCAGCCCCTGGCCTGAAGGCTTTGAGACTGTTAAGGCCAGCTGCGGGGGCACCCAACAGAGCTCCGCTGTGCCCTCACTACCCTCCTACCTTGTCTGCCTCGAGCTGAGGACTTCACAACGTGAGGAACCCAGAGAGGGGCACAAGTCCCAAGGCCATAACCTCACAGCCACACCAGCTGAGGCAGCAATTCTACATACCCAGCAGCTTTGAGTTCTCCCACCACAGCTGCTCAGACCCTTTCAACCACGTCGGCTGGATTACTGCCTGGATACAGAGCGCGCTCAAGCCAGTACACAGCCCAACCAGGACACAGGAGAAGGAAGTGTGGCAGAGCCTTCCACTGCCATCCCAGGACTTTGACGGCCACAGCCACCCTCCACCTGTATCAAATATCAAACCTGTCGCCCATTTCTTTTTTAAAAAATATTTTATTTTATGTGTATGAGTGTATTGTCTGCATGTATGGGAGTGCACCCGTGTCGTGCAATGCCGTGGAGGTCAGAAGAGGGCTTCCGATTCCCCTGGAACTAGAGTTGAGGATGGCTCGTAGCCGCCATGTGGGTGCTGGGAATCGAACCTGGGTCCTCTGCAAGAGCAGTCAGTGCTCTTAACTGCTGAGCCATCTCTCCAGCCCCTTTTCCCCATTTCTAACACTCCAAAATTCATTTTTTGCACACCCAAGGGTGACGTGTTCTTGGGTCCGTACTTTGCAGGAATGCTCTCAGGAAGCCCCCCCACCCCACAAATCCTCACCTGCTGCTGTCAGCTGGGCCAACTCTGTCCTAGAGCCAGCATCCCTGGGGGGCAGGGTCAGAGCACAGCACCCTCACCCCCATCCAGCAGCGCACTTCATTTCAAAAGTCAGTCTAGTCAGTCTATGCCTAAATCCAAACAGACAGGACTCCCAGGCCTAAGCTGCATCTGCTCTATGCAAAGAGAAGGCGGCAGGGGAGACTAGCGACTGGCCGAGCCTGGTCCTGTAGGACAGAGAAGTGCGGCAGAGCACATGCCTTCCACGCTGAACGGGTAGCAGCCACTGGAGTCTCACCCACAGGAGGAAGGACCAGAGACCTTCTGCCCCTTCATCCAGCTCTCGCCAGCTCTGACATCTTAGCAGTGTTCCCGAGTGTCTCTGGGGCAAGTCCGCCAGGCCAGGTGCCCCCTCCAGAGCCAGCTCACCTTTGGCCTCACCTCACAGGGACTCAGGCTCTTCAGACCTGCAGCTTTCCACACCCTTCTCTGAGGTAATGCCCAACCCCAGCTCCCTCCGGGGCTCCTCTCCCTGTGCTCTAGTGTCTTGTGGGTTCTCCCGTTCCCTTCTCCCCACCACCACCACACCTACAGACCTCATCTTGGAGCCCCCAAGTTCTCCCCACTTTGGGGTCTCTGCACTTGTTTACCTGGAACTGGACCCTCCATCACCCCAGTCTGTCAGTCAACCCTGATTTCATCACCTCCCTCCTAAGACCCTTCCTGCCATCTGTCTCCAATGGCAGATCCTGACACTGAATACAGGGTAATGTGGAGCTTACCAACAGGGACACATAAAGAAATGGGTCTTCAGCAGACCAGTGAGTCCACTGTTGGGTAGACATCAGAGTGTTTACACAGAGATGGCTACAGCACTGGGCCATGACAGGCAGCCACCACTATATTCAGTCAGCGCTGGCCCAAATGCCACTGTCTGGTTGTAACTACACAATATGACTAACGTGAGTTCCCACAAAATGGGGCTTGGTCTGGAGATGTGCCATTCCCCACTTACACCCAGCCGTCCATTTCCCGAGACTTACGTGTGCCACGTCGGACGGACGGCTCATCTGCTGAATGTCCGCGTTGTTGGTGATATTCCGAAGCGTCCGCACAGCGGGGCTCCAGGCCGCCAACATTTCTGGTCGTTCAGAACTTTGGGGGTTCTGTCCAGAAGCCATCAGGCTGCCCCGAACATCGGGAGGCAGGATGTTGCCTGGGACTGGCGGGACATTGGCACACAAGTTAATGAGCCCCGGCTCTTTTCCCTGAGGCAGCCTGCGTTTGGCTGTGCTGATCTGAGGGACTTCGGCTGGGGTCCAGTTCAAGTTCCGGTCCTGCTTCTCGGGGGACGAATCTGAGGAGTCATCAAACATCAACTCCCCTTGGACTGTCTCAGCACTGGGTTTGGGGGAGAGCCGCGGGCCAGCGGGGGAGCCTTCCTGAGGACTGGCCGGACTCGAGTTCTCAGTGCTGCCCTCCTTCTGGGAGTCCTGCTCCTCGTTTTCTCCCTCTTCCTCCTCCTCCTCTTCCTCCTCCTCCTCCTCCTCCTCATAGATGATCAGCCTAGGGTGGTAAAATGCTTCGTCCTTCCTGCTCTTCTCAGACACACAGTCCAGGACCCAGTCGGGGGTGACAATCCGAATACTTGCTCTCTTCACAGCACATTCGTACTTCTCCTAAGAGTGAAACACAAACACACTTGACAAAGCTGCCCACGCTCACCCCGTCCAGGAACCGCTCGTTCGGAGGAGGGCATGTCAGCCAGGATACAGCTGCAGAGTTGGGCGATGTCCTGTACTGAGAAAAACCCACACGAGACAAAGGCTGAAGTCTGTGGCCCGGGTCAGAGCAGCCACAGGTCAGTGCACCAGAAGAGCTCACGCCTCCAGCAGGGACCTTACACGCTTTAATCTGCTTGTGTAAGTGGTGTTTCCAGTACATTCAGAGAGCTGTAAGTCACACAGAATGGAAACCTGCAATCAGAGTTTGCACATTCTAATGGTTGCTACAGAGCAGCTGTCCGGGAGAGGCTGGCGCTCACTAGGGTAAGTGGTCAGGAGTGTGGCTGACTGCCACGGCAGCCCCCTTCCTGGTTCGCAGGGAGCTCCGTCCACGTGCAGAGCTGCACTAAGGGCTGTAGACAGGACGCACCCAGCTCCAAAGAGAAGTCAGACATGACACGAGACTGACTTAAACCAGCACTGCCAACCTGGTACCGCATGTCTGTGATCTCAACACTTGGGAGACAGAAGCAGGCAGAAAGTTCAAGGCAAGGTTAGGTCTACACAGTGAGCTACAGCCAGCCAGGGCTACACAATGAGACTCTATCTCAAAAATAAGAAATAACAGTGCTAAATGACAAAGTATGGTATTCTATTGTCAACCCAACACCTAGCAGGCCTCTGGGCATGTCTGCTGGGACTGACTAGATTTCAATTTATTTTTATTTTACATGCATGAGTGGTTTGCTTGCATATATGTGAGTGCACCTGTGTCCTGCAATGCTCCCAGAGGCCAGAAGCGGGTGTCAAACTCCCTAGAACTGAAGTTTTGGACAGTCATGAGCCACCATGTGGGTGCTGGGTACAAACCTGGGTCTTCTGAAGAGCAGCCAGTGCCCTTAACCACTGAGCCATCTCTCCAGACCCACTGTCCAGATTACAGTAACTGATGTGGCCAGAGCCCTATGAGCTGTGGGCAGGACAGTCCCTGAGCAGAGGTCCTGGAGTGTGTCAGGAGAGAAAAGAAGCTATGTATTAGCACGCACACCTCCGTATGCTCTCTTCTGAAGGAGGACACAGCGTGACCAGCCCCTTGGAGCTCCTGCCACTGTGCTATCCATTCCACAACGAACTCTCACCTCAACTGTGAGCTGAACAAGCCCTTTTCCCTTACGCTGCTTTTGTCAAAGCATTCCATCCCATCCGTGGAGAAGAAACTAAGGCAGAACGGGAACCACATTGCCTAGGTGGTGAGTCCTTCGATCCCAGCAGGGAGGGCGGACCAGATGCCGGACGGACACACACACACACACACATATGGACACGGACACGGGACAGACACCAGATGCACAGTAAGAAAAGGGTGAACACTCAAGAGGCGAGGGCCCACATCTGGGCAGCATCTTGACGGAACAGAATACAATAAAAGTTGCTTTTACAAAAATCTGTTTCTAAGTCCACTTCAGCCACCTCTCACCCGTTTGCTTCTGAAAGCCTGGAGGGTAATAGAGTTCTGTGGCAAACAACTGGTACTAAGCTAAAATCCATTCCTTCCACACATGCAGCCCACAGGGCACCTGGAGTTTCTGACCAAGACAAGCACTGCACTAGGCCAGGGCAGGGACACAGGATGAAGGACTGCCTCCGGGCCCTGTAAACCTGCTACTCAATGGGCATGACGTAAGCCTGGCAAAGCGTGTGGTCCAGTTTGCATTAACCAGGAAGTTGGTCCTTGGTCTTTCAAAAATACAAGGTAGAGTTAGTCACAGGAGACAGTCCTGAACAAGTTCAGTGAGTAAAGGAAGAGGCGTATGACCACACAGGCAGAGGCCACACGAGCAGGACCACAACCACAGACACAGAGGCCACACGACCAGGACCACAACCACAGACACAGAGGCCACACGAGCAGGACCACAACCACAGACACGGAGGCCACACGAGCAGGACCACAACCACAGACACAGAGGCCACACGAGCAGGACCACAACCACACAGGCAGAGGCCACATGAGCAGGACCACACCACATAGACACAGAGGCTGCAACGAACCTGAGCAATTCAAATTGCTCTGCACCGAAAACACCCACTTCGGGAAGGCAGGACTCACACAGAGACCCAACACGGTATTCTTGAGTCAGCCTGGAGTGTTCTCACCCTATGGGGAAGTGCACACACGCCTGCTGTATTCATGTTTCTCGTCTGTACGGGCACATGCACTGCATACAGTGCCTTCGCCAGAGGCATCGGATTCCCTGCAGCTGGAGCTACAGGTGGCCATGTGGGGCCTGACGTGGATACTGGGAACTGAACGCAAGAAGAGCAGTTGGGCACTCTCAACCACTGAGCCATCCCTTCAGCTCCCCATATTATTTTTTTAAGATTCGTTTATTTTAGCTGGGTGTGGTAGCGCACGCCTTTAATCCCAGCAGTCAGGAGGCAGAGGCAGGTGGATATCTGTGAATCCAGTTCAGCTTTGTCTATAACACTGAATTCCAGGCCAGCTGGGGCTACAGAGAACCTGTCTCAAAAAGACCAAAAGAAAAGATTTACTTATTTTTTTTTGTATGAGTGCATTGCCTTCATGTACTGCACCCATGTTGTATAATGCCCAGAGAGGCGAGGAAAGGGTGTCAGATCTCCTAAAAACTGGAGTTAAGGTAGTTGTTAGCCACCATGTGGCTGCTGGGAACTGAACCCAGGCCCTCTGCAGAGCAACTGTCTCTCTAGCCCACATGCAGTGTTTTAGCAGTCAGCCTTCCTCCCCACTCCCCAACCAGGGCCTCCAGCAAGCTAGAAGCACTGTCCACAGACCACCATCCGGCCACAGCTCACAGCCTACTTAAGCAGAAAGTGTTACACAACCTCCTATAAATACGGATGAGGAATTCTTCTGGCGGACCGAGGAGCTCCAGTTTGTGGACGGTCTGCTCCAGAAGAACTTCAGGTTCTTACACAATTAATGAAGTTTAAATGCCTTTGCATAAGGCAATTTGCCAAAAAAATGACCTGATACTCGAATCCTCAAGATGGCTTCCTGCGTGTCAAGGAGCTCAGGAGCTGCAGAATTTGACAACCACGACATGGGTTGGTGTGCATGTCTTCCCACGTTACCACTGGTGATATCAGGTAAGTAGCTTGAAGTGGGCCATGGCACCAGTACACTCAGAAGCCTGAAGATGTGACAGGACAGTCTTCTAAGTAATCAACCTCATTTCTGCTCGAGTTCTAAATTATTCCATTTTCCCAATGTAAACTGAAAGGCACCTCATTAGGTCATATGTACAAACTTTCTCTATGAACTCATTAATAAACACAAAAACCCGAGGAAAAGCAATGCCATTTGTTTTTGTGTAAAGTCAGTCTCTATCCAGTACTCCCAAAATTTATATTCTGAGAACTGTCTAAATTGGCTGTGATTTGGCTTTAAGAATTTATGCCTCGGGCTGGAGAGATGGCTCAGTGGTTAAGAACACTTGCTGCTCTTCCAGAGGACCAGAGGTTAGAGCCTCGCAGCCACGTTGGGAGGCTTACAATCACCTGTAACTCCAGCTACAGGGGATCTGACCCTCAGTTCTGGCCTCCATGGGCATCAACACACACATGATATAGACACACACACATTCACATAATAAATCTTAAAAGGAATCTGAACAGATTGTAGGACACTGCAGTCTGAACGAAAGCACAAACCCCAGGCATTTTGAAGGGTGTGACTCCCAACGCTGCAGTCCCTCTGTCCCACAGCCTCAGCAACAGACACGATCACGAATCAAGCACATGATGGCTAACTATAATCTACGTTCACATAAACCTAAAGCCATTCCAGTTCCACAGATAGCAAGACATGTAGGTCCTCTGGCTCACTGAGGCCTGCGTGCCAGAGCCTTCTAAGGAAGAGGCAGGAACAAGAAGCAGTTGAGACAAGACCCTGGGTCTGTGAGCAGGCCCAGGAAGGTGCCTGGTCTGTCTTGGTCCTTAGCCAGCAGGCAGCAAGCACTGAAGCCCAGATGCTCCAGGAGCTGTTAGCCTGACTTGGAGGTGGGAGACATGTGAAGGCCTTGCTCTGCTTACGTGAAAGCTGGTGGGGACCTGGGACACAGGACACCACATCCTAGGAAGACCCAGTGTGCTGGCAGCGGAATTTCCCGACAGAGGCTCACACAGCACAGCACCTGCCATCCTCCCAGGCAGTTCCTGGCATGTGCTTTACAGGAATGTTTGCACAAAACCCTACTCAAAGGTGGTGAGTTTTTTATTGGACTCTGTGTCACCAGGGGCGACATCCTTACGGTCATTTGTCCTTAGACACAACACTGGCCTTTTCTGAAGCTGTCGCAGTCCTGATAACACATCTGTAAACAGCACACCACCTGTCTTCCAGAGCAGCAAGACCCGTCACAGGACTAACTGCTTCTCTTCCCGTCTTGTGTCTGGCACTGTGGTCCTTAATGCCTCAGGCCTGGGGAAGCACATAGTGAACGGACTTGTCAGGAAAGCAACTGTGTCTTGGTCTCTTTGCGCTGACAAAGGACCCAGGAGGCTGAGCACTAACTGCCAATTGCTGATGTTTTTAGACTGGCAAACTTGGAATCTGATTTTAGTAAGTTTCACCCTACTGAGAAAGCAAAGTGAGTACTAAAACAGGTCCCTCCCCCATATTGAATCTGTTATTTTAAAACTGTGAAGTCAAAATTGGAAAAACAGATGCACCTGACTTTTCTACTTTATAAATAAAATCAAGGACAAAGAGTAGTCGAACTGTATAAAATACTGCAATCCCATCAGACTCTGAACACCCTCATAGGTATGCAGAGCACATCTGGCATATATCTCCTTTCAAATCAAATTTTTAAACAATTAAATTTCCTAAAATTACTTATGTGCCATATTCATTATATGAGTATGTACTAGCTAAATAAAATGTCTTTTTTGTGGGTGCGTGTGTGATCTGCATGTGTGTTCGCACGTGTATGAGCACGGGTGGGGATGCCCAAAGTTGACACCAGAGGTCCTGACCGCTCTTCACCACAGGTACTGAGGCGAGGTCTCTAGCTGTACCTGGAGCTCACCATTTGGCAAGCCTGACCAGCCAGTTTGCTCCAGGGACCCTGCCTCCATCCCACTCTGCAGGTATAGAAAGGTCGCCTCCCTGCCCAGTTTGTAGCAGGTTCTGGGGATCTAAACTCCAGTCATTACGCAAGCACAGCCCCATGAGTCTCTTTAGTGTGCATTAAGACCTGTGTCTTAACTGAAGCAGACACATCTACACACAGCTACATGAATACAAGACACACACACTCACTCATACAAACTGTTGACTTAGATGTGTTTCCTCCAAACAAAATTTTAAAGATGTTCCATTTTCAAGTCAATTAAGTACTTTAAAATATAAATTATACACAAGATACTTACCTGGATATGAGCCCTATGTTTGATCCCCAGTACCAATAAATAAATAAA